CTAAATATTATATTTTGCGTACATAAGCTATCTATGTTTATTTATTTATCTATGGTACTAATCCTGCATTCGGGTGCAGGTAACGAAACACAATAAAATCCTTTTGAAATGTCGTCTGTCAACCAAGAACATTCAAGAGAGATACTTTAGACGTAAAAGAACTTGCTTCATTTCATCTAAGAATGCCATACTGAACGTTTCTTGACAAATTTAATAAATAAATATTTTTAGATATTATTTGTTTACTTTGTCATATTCTTGAAGCCCGACTTATAAAGTTGATTTTTTGGAGGTTTAAAGTTAAGAAGTTTTGGACTTTTGGAGTTTAGAGGTGTTGAAATTTTGGAGTTTTTAAGTTCTGAAGTTTGAGCTTTGAATCTCTTCTCGATAAAATAAGGCAAGTTATTGTGTCCGATGAGTTGCTAAAATTTTCGAAAAAAATATTGGAAAATGCACTCAAATTTATAAGATCTGATTCATCCGTAGTTCACTATTCTTCACGGGGTGATTTTCAGGACTTTCAAATATCAGGTTCTAGAAGAAAATTAGATCAAATTTCAAACTAGTTTTTATTCGACATTTATAACTTGTAATATCTGAAGCCGAATTTTAAGAATTTGAGCCGCGTCTTTAATTTAAGTCGCGGCTCAAATATGGTTGGTTCCACTTAAAATTGCATTACATTTTTCAAGATATAAGCCGGCACTGGTTTTTGGGGGATTTGAGACGCGGCTTGAATTCATTAAATTCGGACACTGAATGATTAGTTTTAAATTTAACTAAATTATCTACTGTTTTGGTAAAGAAGCAATTCCGTGGATTTGCATTGGTCCTGCCGGCTCGTCGTATTGGTCCTGCCGGCTCGTCGTATAAGTCGTTTTTACCCAGTTTCTCATTAGAGACGCAACAGATAGAAGTAAAATTAGTAGTGATCGATATCGAATTCAATTCGGGATCATCAACATAATCTTCCCATCCCAACTGTTCAGGTGCAGGGAGAGGGTGGACGGGATACAAAGGTGATGGAAACAGTTCTACTAAGACGAGCCAGCATCATGTCAACTGCTATTGTTAACGAAAATATGCTTCAGGTGATACAAATCAATCAACTAATCAATTCTAATGTTCAATAGGTTCAAAAATCAAGTCATAAGATAATTTTTTTCAAATAATCAACCAATTAAAATAATCAGCCAATTAAAATAATCAGTCAATTCAAACAATTCATATAATGATCAATAAGTTCAAATATTTAATCAATTTAATGGTCAATCAATTAAATGATCTATCAATTCAAATAATCAATCAATTCAATAATCAATCATTTCAATGATCAATAAAATCAAATGATCTATAAATTCAAATAACCGATCATTTCAAATAATTAATCAATCTGCTATTGTTAACGAAAATATGCTTCAGGTGATACAAATCAATCAACTAATCAATTCTAATGTTCAATAGGTTCAAATGATCAATCAAGTCATATGATGAATTTTTTCAAATAATCAATCAATTTAAACAATTCATATAATAATCAATAAGTTCAAATATTCAATCAATTCCATGGTCAATCAATTAAAAAATCAATCAATTCAATGATCGGTCAATTCAAATAATCAAACAAATCATATAATCAATAAATTCAAATATTAAATCAATTCAATGGTCCATTAATTAAATGATCTTACAATTCAAATAATCAATAAATTCAATAATCAATCATTAAATGATCAATAAATTCAAATGATCTATAAATTCAAATAACCGATCATTTCAAATAATTAATCAATTCAAATAATCAAACTATTCAAATATTTGATAAATTCAAATAATCTAGCAGTTCAAATAATCAATCAATCAAAAAAATCAATCAATTCAAAAATAGTCATTTAATTCAAATAATCGATCAATGAGATTAATCAATTCAATAATCAATCAATTCAATTATCAATCAATCCATTTAATTTAATGGTCTATCAATTATATGACAAATTAATTCAAATGATCTATTCATTTGATGGAAAATTACTAATTTAATTTGAATAATCAAACAATTATAATGATCAATTAATTCGAGTAATTAATCAATTAATCAATTTTAGCCGATAGAGTTGTCAGCAGGAAACCGAAGACAGAGTTTTGAACCAACACATCTCACAAGGAAAAGCAGTTACAAGCACAGGTAAATATTATGTTACAAGCACAGGTGAATATTATGTTACAAGCATAGGTGAATATTATGTTACAAGCACAGGTGAATATTATGTTACAAGCATAGGTGAATATTATGTTACAACCACAGGTGAATATTATGTTGTTACAAGCATAGGTCAATATTATGTTGTTACAAGTATAGGTAAATTTTAGGTTTTTTTTCGAGGATCTTAAACATTACATTAAATGAATTTAAATTCATGATAGAATAAATTCTTCCTCTAAAGAGATAAATATAGAGTTTTAAATTTCTGAAAATCAACCTCATAAAATTTTTCTTGTGTGAGAGTTTTACCACCACCAAATATTTCGCATAAAAGAACCAAGTTGTTGCCACAAACTCAAATTTTCTAATTTTTATAGCTTTGCAACCTAATGCGGTAGACATTTCAGATTTCAAATCTATTAATTTAATGGAATTTATAGTTTGAAATATCAAAAGTCTGTTAGAGATTGGGTTGGAAAGATTTAAGGGTGAGAAAATCTGAGTTTGTGGTAAAAAAACAGTTCCTTAGACTTTTCCGTTGTATCTTGATAAGACCGACATAGTTTAAACTTCAAAATCTAGAGAGGGCACCTTTTTATCAGAAAACTCATGTGAGATCGATCTAACCAAGGTATGTAGATTACAGGTATGGGTGATAGGAAAACTATAGTTCCTTATCAGTCCAAATACGTCACAGAAACTAGTTCTTCAGCAGTCCAGATTCGTCACATATAAATATACGCTGATCCTATCGCCCACTTGTATGCCAGTTCCATTAGCGCCTGATCCAATCAGGATTCAGTCATGTGTTTGTTGTATATTCTGAACCAATAGAAATTGCATGCATCTTGCTATCTATCTCATCAACCATTAGGAATGAATCCTAAATCTACTGTAGTCTACACACCTTGGATCTAACTAAACGGACTGAGGACCCTCCAATTATAGTTTACTCATGTCCGATTCTCAACGGTTTCTTTTCCTGGTAATGAATGAATGTGATATGCTAGTTTTACTGTCTGATAATTCTTTATTTTTATTTATGGTTTCTCCTTTAATCTAAGACAAAAAGAGCATTTATTATTCAGGTAAAGGTTAAAAAAGGACCGTTTGGCTGATATTTAATTTTCAATTCCCCGAAGATTTAATGATTGAAACAGAAACCAGTATCTGAGCGGTTTAAATACTTGGCAGTAAAATGTACACAAACACTATCCCCTATTCCTTCAAAGGTTTCAGTTTTATATTCATCACTTCTATAAATTAAACTTAATGTTTCAAGAAAACATTTCTTTTCTTCTGTTTTATTCCATCAGAGAGAAATCTGGGAATTTTTGAAATTCCCCGCATTTTATGCTTTTCTTGGTTGGAGAAATTAAACTTTTAGAATTTTTCTAAGAATTTAGGTTTCCTTTTATCCTCAATATAAAGTAAATTGTGGGAAAAATAAAACTTTGGAATAAAAAGACGACACTAACGTAATTTTCAGTAATCTTATGCGTATTTAATGTTCATATAAAGCATAATGTTTTATTAGTATAGCTGAAAGGGACTGCCGCTTCTTTGTATTAAAGGTCACTTGAAATTAGGCTTACGGTCCCTTTAAACAACTACAAATAAAGTGAAATGGGCGTGTGTTGTAGACTGCATATTTGCAGAGAGTGGTGTTTATGTTACTGTTTAAAATCAAAACTAGAATTTAACAGTCGTCTTCCTGTACCATAGTTTTATGGGAATTACTATATATATATATAGTAAAACCGTGTTTATTGACTGATAAGGATCGAGAGGTCTGAAACAATTTGTATTATTAATATGAAAGCTGAGATGCTGTTCTGATTAGTGCTTTATAATTATATATATATGTTTTTATAAATTTATTTTAGCTCAAAACGACGGAGGTACAGTGTTCAGCATTCATAGAAGATGTTTACAAGAACTAGCTTCCGGTTAACACAAGCTCCACTCAAGAAAGCATCCGGCCGGAAATCACAGCTTCCGGTTTTAATGATTCCTGGATTTGGATCTTACTTCACGGCTAAAAATCTAAAACCGGTCGTTTGAAGCGCGCGCTAAATTCAATTAAAGAAAGATTAGCATTTCTACAAAGAACTCCATACTCACCACAAATTCCAATTTTGTGATCTTTATATTTTTGGAATCTGAAGGTGAACAAACTTTTGGGTTTTAAACTTAGACTATTTAACCCTATTCCTGCTGGGGGGAGGGGGAGTCAAGCTGACCCCCTCCTGCAGCTTTTTTTACGTAACTTAAAAAGTATTGGTATTTGGCTGTTGACATTTTATGACTTTTCCTAAAGACCCATAACCCTCCCTTTAGTTATAAAACCAGGCTTTTATACTAACTGCCTGAGTCCTCAGGCACACTGCCTGAATGACCACTTTTTCCTGTATGAAAAGTTAGCGATATCAGGTCCAAGGATTTGGGGATTAAAAATTTTCAATTTCAGGAGATTGATGTGAAATATTTAAAAAAAAACCTCTTTATATGTATTATAACAGAAAGTAGAAAATTGTTTATTCGAATATATATATTTATTAGGATATACATGTTGTGTAAATGTATAGATGTCTCTATAATTCTATACCTCGGAAAAGGATGTAATTTAGCAATTAGATTAGAGGATGATATTTGTATTCATAATCCAGAATCAGATTAATTATTAATATATCTAAAGCTCCAGGAAAAAGTAATATTTTCACAGATAAGCAGGAACCGAAAATTTGATTTTAAGATTAAATAATTATGATTATATATCATTATAAGGATGAAAAGTCCTAGGTCAACTGCCTGAATTTCTTGCAAAAACTAAGTAAGATAAAGCATTAACACATTGAAAATAAAGACCCATCTTCCCCCAGCAACTAGAGGCCAAATGCATTTAAGGTTAATTACGAAAGTTGTGGAAATGAATGATTTAATGCAGGGGAAGCTTAAAGGGACTGTGATTTCAAAAAGCTCTCCATAAAAAAAGTGGCAATGTCATTTTTACAACAATAATCATTATAAATTTATCAATTTTTTCCTATCTCTCTATTAATGAATGGTTACTTCAAATTACGTCTCAAGTCCTTTTAGAGGGAGTGACTGCCTAAAATATTTCTTTACAATACTGCACTGTAAGCTTAACTACCATGTTCAGTCATACACTCCCTTAAAGAACGGTGTGTTTGTAAACATTCCTTAAAAATTGCAAAACGTAAACACACAGTTGCAGTACATTAATGAACCTGAGCCCAGATGTAAATAGACAATAATGTTTGAGACTGTGTGTGTACTGTGTACGGCTTAGAGGGGTGGGGGCCGGGTCAAAAAATTAAGCCCCCCAAAAAAATCTTCTTTTTATTTCAGACGAAATTCAAATTTGTCTCTCTAAAAAGCATTTTGGAAAATTTTGAATTATTTAACAATTCCTGTATTTAATAAGAATATATTTCGTTTATCTAAATCTAAGTGAGTTTTTCTTTTTAAACTTAGAAATCAGCTCAATATATATAATATCTTAAACTTAATATGTAATTGTGTAATCATATATTAATGAAAAATAATGTGTTAAATTTACTTGTCGCATTTAAATGTTAGTGCTAGAAATGATAAGTTAGGTTAAGCGTTATTATAAACAAATATATCAAAGAAATAAAAGAATGCTCATATATTATTTATTAATTGGATATGTTTAATTTAGGATGTAGAAAAAAGCTCAATTTATTGTTTAACTCTCTAACAAAAACGCTAGATAGTAGATATTTAAGTTATTTATATAAGCAGATATATATATAAAAGCCTATAGATCTAAATTGTAAAAAAATTGACAGAGAGATTATTTCATAGAAAGAATATTACATAGAGAGAACATTTCTTGGAAAAACATTTCATAGAGAGAACATTTTTTAGAGAGAGTTTTTCATCTAATCTGTTTCTGGTTTCTGGTTTCTCTTATCTTGTCTAATAAATCTGTAGAATTGGGTTCTTTTTCACTTCTGTTTAATTTGTAGAATTTTTATCTCTTGTCTCATCTATTTAATCTGTAGAATTTGTATGTCTTGTATTATCTATTTAATCTGTAGAATTGGAATCTCTTGTCTTATCTATTTAATCTGTAGAATTGGCATCTCTTGTCTTATCTTTTTAATCTTTAGAATTGGTATTTCTTGTCTTATCTATATAATCTGTAGAATTGGTATTTCTTGTCCCATCTGTTTACAGGTAACGTTGTGAGTTGTGACCCAAACATATCCCAATTTAGTTAGAGAGGTCACGTGACAATACGTCGTCAGTTCTTTTAATCTGTGACAGAATGTTATCTCTTAAGTTCCATCTGTTTCAACTGTGATTAGAAGTTTACAGTTTGGACCAGCAGGGTGAAGGAGGGTATTCTTGCAAACTGCTAATTGTTGACGCAGTAATAATATATATACTTTGCTTGTCTGTCTGCATTGGTGTTTGTTTGGTTGTTTGTATCCAAAACGGCTCAATAGATCGGTCCCAAGTTATGTGTGAGACCTCACGTGGCCCCAGGGAAGGTTTATGGATGTGAATGATCAAAATTTCAAAACTTTATCTCTAACAAAATTTGATTTTAAATAAATTTTTTAAAATTTTGAAAATCACACATTTTTTTATGAAATCCGCAATTTTTTTTTGGTTTTGTTTTACAATGTACACAAAGAGAATATGTTCACAATTGAAATAGAAGATTGGCGCAAAGCGCCCATAAAGACTAGTATATATTTGTAAAGCTATGCTCTCAACTATTTTTTTCGNACCTTCCCTGGGCTCCCTAGATGTCCCACAAAAAATTTGGGCCCGACCGGTTCAGCCGTTTTGACGTTTATTGGATACAAACAAACAAACAGACAAACAAACAAACAAACAGACAAGCCAAATTTATATATAGATTCTATATATATTTACGGGATAAAGTAGAAATGCAATATTACACATTAATATATTTACGTTGAGAACTGTTGATTATTTACAAGTAAAAATACTATAGTAGAGACTATAAAGCAATTCAATATACAATAAATATATATGTAAAATTCTTATCTCCTTTGCTACAACTGGTGAAACCCTTAAACCCTTGGAAAAAGTAAGACAATTGTTAGAGTCAATTGTAATGATTTTGATTAGTCCAATGAACGCGAATTGAGCAGTTTACTAAATTAAATGATTTTTAAGGTAAACATTTTTATCTCATAGCAACGTCAAATACTCATTGTTTAAATGTCGTCTCTGTTACAGACTACAATGGGAACTAATTTTAAGTATACCGACTGTCGTTTTTGTTATTTTCTAAAACAAGCAAATACTTTTATTTGCAAAACTGTGGACATTATTGCAGTGCAAAACTCACAGTTAAATAAACGTCTTGATAAAAAGTCCAATGAGTCTTAAGTTTAGGACCCATTTTACACTCATTAAATGTAGCTTTCTTCTATTTGATATTTCATAAATTTTTGTTAGCTTTGTATTTTAAATATTTCAGAAATTCATGTAGCTTACGCTAAATTGACAGGTATTGAATAAAAGGCAGTTTACCCTGAGATTTTGATATGAAATGTCGTCTTGACAATTTTTCAACAGGTTTCTACTTTTATATGTAAATCGTATAAATTGCAAAAATAAATAAATAGCCATGAATATGGGGGAACAGTTTAAAATAGCTTGATGTAATCATTTAATTAAAAAAAAAATAAACATCTACAGCATTCCATTATTCGACAGTTAAAAATACGAGATTTTATAAATTCTTTCGGGGTCTCTTTATATTTGAACTTAACTGTATCAAAATATAACTTAAATCATACTGATACAGACAGGATCTACGCAAAATTCCTAAAATCTTAATAGATAATAAATATCCTTTTAACAAAGGCTAAATCATCCTTGAGAAATTAATTAAGCCCAGGATTTAGCCCTTATATGGACAGTTTCTTACAGAAGCTTTAGGGCACTATTATACTCTTGGGGTTTTTATGGTTTCAGCGTGAAAATAGACAGATACCGAGATACCGAGATATAAATTTATATCCGGATACGGTATTTACAACTCTCAGTTCGGATGTAAATATTAAGATTAATTTTATAAAATCAAATTTGGTTTCATAACATCCAGATTGGTTTTGTAACACATATATTGGTTTTAAACACCTAGCTTGATGACATAACAACTAGATTGGTTGTATATAACCTAGATTGGTTCTATAACACCTTGATTGGTTCTATAACCCCAAGATAGGCTGTATAAAACCTAGATTGGTTGCATAACACCTTGATTGGTTCTATAACACCTTGATTGGTTCTATAACCCCAAGATTGGTTGTATAAAACCTAGATTGGTTGTATAACACCTAGATTGGTTGAAGAACATCTAGATTGGTTGCATCACACCTAGATTGGTTGTATACCACCTAAATTGGTTGCACAACATTTAATTGGTTGTATAACACCTAGATTGATTGTGTACACATATATTGGTTGCATAACACCTTGATTGGTATTATAACACATAGATTGGCAGCCAAAAAAACTTGATTGGTTGTATAACACCTAGATTAGTTGCAAAACACCTAGATTAATTGTGTAACACATATACTGGTTGCATAACCCCTTGATTGGTATTATAACTGCACCTAGATTAGCAGCAAAAAAACCTTAATTGGTTGAATTTAACTTCTAAACTAGTTGCATAACAACTAGATTGGTTATATAACACCTAGATTTGATACATACACCTTGACACTTCGTCAATAAACTCTAGGATTTGAAAAGGGGGATTGAAAAACTACAACCACGTTTTCTACACTTGACTGGAATTTAAACAAGAAAAGGATTAATCACAAAATACAACAAATAGAAAAAGATGGTTAGTTTGAGATGGAATATAAAACTCGGAAACTTTCTATTTGAGGTAATTTGTTTAAACAAAGGAAATTCTGCTGTGGATAAACTCTACAGAAAGGATTTCAAATAATTGGTTTCAAGTGAATTATCAATATGAAGAAACAAGTCAATGAAACCAGGGTTGGTTGGGAGAAGTAAAAAGGTGTCCTTTACTTTCAGTGTCATAGAATGATTTTATAACATCTTAGAATGGTTTGATATCATCAAGATTGGTTTCATAAAATCCAGATTGGTTGCAAAACATCCAGATTGGGTGCATAACATCAATCTCTGAACAAAAAGGCCAAAAATGATCCAATGTTTTGAAAAATCATCAAATAAATTTTCTTAAAGTTAAAAAATGCAATATTCTATTGTTTATTCAACTGTCAAAGTTCTCAGAGAAGCTATAAGTTGAAGAATTTTAAAGTTTTACAAAAACCATAGAAATATTGGAATATTTATACTTGTTTTAATTCATTCAAAACTGTTTTAAAGCAAAACTAGAAGGATATATGGATACGTTTTTGAAATGTTTCTTATTCACCGATAAACGCCCTGTATAGGTCCAACGAAGTACATCCTGTAAGAAGTATGTATCTACATATTATAGGTCATATTTTGATATCTAACTTTAAGAGAGGTTCCAGAGGAAGGGCTCGCCGAATTTAACCAGGACCATTATGGGCCTTTTTTGTATTTCTCATGAAATGAGTTTCAATAATTATCTAATGACGTCATTGCACATACATCTTCTCAAANTTACCCCCCCCTGACTAAATTCCTGAAACCGCCCATGTGCTTAAACAAATAAAATGAGTGCAATTACTTTCCCACTACAAATCAGTTGTGCAAATAGCCGTCTGCAGCCTATTGTTTTAGTATTAAAACAAAATCCAGGAAAAATCTGTTCCAGTTCTTTTTATTGAGATATATTATGCAGGATTTGTAAATAAACATCGAATTAATTTGTTTATGTAAAATGAAGCATCTAAATAAAAAGCGTCAACAAAAAAACAATTTTCTTCATAACTTTTTTTAATTTTGGATCAAACAGTATGAAATTTACACAAAATCCTGCTTACAGAATTGGGAAGACATAACAATATCGTACTGTGCGCTTGATTTCCTTCATTTTCCACAACAGCCCGACATTTAACTGACTCCTAAAAGACAAACTGTTGAAAGGAAAAACTCCTTAAAGACAAACTGTGGAAAGGATAAACTCCTGAAAGACAAACTGTGGAAAGGATAAACTCCTGAAAGACAAACTGTGGAAAGGATAAACTCCTGAAAGACAAACTGTGGAAAGGATAAACTCCTGAAAGACAAACTGTGGAAAGGATAAACTTTTGAAAGACAAACTGTGGAAAGGGTAAACTTCTGAAAGACAAATTGTGGAAAGGATAAACTCCAAAAAGACAAACTGCGGAAAGGATAAACTCCTGAAAAAACAAACTGTGGAAGAATAAACTCCTGAAAGACAAATTGTGGAAAGGATAAACTACTGAAAGACAAACTGTGGAAAGGATAAACTCTTGAAAGACAAACTGTGGAAAGGATAAACTCCTGAACGACAAACTGCAGAAAAGACAAATTCCTAGAAGACAATTCATGAAAAGAATATATTTTCGAATGGTTAAAATCCCAAAAAGGAAAAGAAAAGTCCAAACTTATATTAAAATATGATAGCTGAGGTGCACGACGTTGCCCGTGCAATTTTAAAAATACTTGGGAAGAAAATTCGATTTTTTAAAAATTTTCCAGCCTTTGTTAAACTCAATAATAATTGAACAAATTCTAATCCACTCTTTTAATAGTGTGTACAATGCGAGGGCCGTACAAATATGTGAATTAGAAAAAAGAAATGTTAGATTCGATTTGTACTTTTAAATAGTAGACCAATAAACATGAAACACAGAGTAGAACTATCTGCTTTATATCAATATATAATGCACAACAAATGGATTAAATATCGTCTTCCTACGCCACACATGTAGTCGTGGGTTATAAAAGTTCTGTAAAAATAGATGAATTTTGGTAAATTTATTTCAGTAAGAATAACTGTACTCGGCATAACAAAATTTATATAACTTATAAACTTCATAATATAGTTTTCAATAGTTCGAGATCGAAAGGTGTCGAAGCAATCTAAACGATGTTAACGGTGACCAGCTCCTAGGAGAACAGGGTGATCAGTATACCAACCAAAGGCTCCAGCTCCTCCAGTATATGCTCCATAGTCAACATGGTCTGGGCCTGCCTCAGCGTGGGGGGCAGCGTAGGTGTTACTAAAATGTATACGTTAATAATAATGATATCCAACTGAGAAATAGTTTTTTTAATTTTTTTTAACTTTAGATGTAATTTCAAGTTACCCTCAATTCATAAAGTGCCATGTCCGATTCACAACGGTAGCCATTAGACCTGTGTGAATGAAATATCCAACCTTTTCTTTCGTAAAATTTAGTATTCTCCATCCAGTTGTTTCTTAATAAACGGGACGGACCGGTTCGCATTAAGACAACAGCGAAAACATGGCCAGAAAAACGACGGTTTTAAAGGAATTATTGTGAATAGGCCAAACCACTATTTTACTGGAGGGTTTACTTAAAATTATGTTTACAGTCCCTTTAAGAATTATTAAACATAACAATATATGATAAACAGACTCTTACAACACAGTTAATATATATATAGTAAAATAGATAATAATATTGTTCTCACGGAATTTAAAAAAAAATCCAAAAATAACAAGACACGTTTTAAATCGTCTTTCGACTCTAGCCAGTAATGGAAAAGTAAAATGATTTTGCACTTTTAATAAAAAAGTTTTCTTCCAAAATATTTTCTTGCTGAATATATTTTGACAATATTTGGCAAAAACAAAAAAATATTAAAACTTTTCTTTTTCGTACAGTGATGGCCAGAACACAATGGAATAAGAAGACGACATAAGAGAAATACGAAACATGATAGTTGGTGAATAGTTTAGAATGTCTTTTTCCATAATTTGTTAAGTTGTTTGACACCAAAGATCAATAAAAGTATTGAATGGGAATCATGTTATATTAAAATTGATTTCAAAGCAAATAGTTGTTTCTTAATAAACGGGACGGACCGGTTCGCATTAAGACAACAGCGAAAACATGGCCAGAAAAACGACGGTTTTAAAGGAATTATTGTGAATAGGCCAAACCACTATTTTACTGGAGGGTTTACTTAAAATTATGTTTACAGTCCCTTTAAGAATTATTAAACATAACAATATATGATAAACAGACTCTTACAACACAGTTAATATATATATAGTAAAATAGATAATAATATTGTTCTCACGGAATTTAAAAAAAAATCCAAAAATAACAAGACACGTTTTAAATCGTCTTTCGACTCTAGCCAGTAATGGAAAAGTAAAATGATTTTGCACTTTTAATAAAAAAGTTTTCTTCCAAAATATTTTCTTGCTGAATATATTTTGACAATATTTGGCAAAAACAAAAAAATATTAAAACTTTTCTTTTTCGTACAGTGATGGCCAGAACACAATGGAATAAGAAGACGACATAAGAGAAATACGAAACATGACAGTTGGTGAATAGTTTAGAATGTCTTTTTCCATAATTTGTTAAGTTGTTTGATACCAAAGATCAATAAAAGTATTGTATGGGAATCATGTTATATTAAAATTGATTTCAAAGCAAAAGATAATGAAGCAAAAGGATGTTTTAACTAAAAATAACGATTTATTAAATGTCATGTTTCGTGGGACACCCTGTACTTAAGTGTCTCATACTCATTGGACTATTAAATGTCATAACTTGATTCTAAAAGTCGTCTTCTTATTCCAAATTTTAAGTTTTTCGCTTTAGAAAATCTACAATTCAAAAATGTTGTTTATTTGTAATTTTTAAATACTTAAGAATATTTCTATACAAATTTCCGACAAATACAATTTAAATGCCTAAAAATGTTCGAAATGAAATTAAATATTTTGTACCTTGAAGCAGGAGAAGGTTCTTCATATGCTGGAGGAGATCCATACTCTTCTAGGGCAGCCTGACGTTTAATTTGCTGAGGAGGTGAATACTCTTCTAGCTGCCGAGCCTGTCGAGTTAGCCCGGGCATGTAGAATCGGGGTAAACCTTAAAACAGGTCTATTATTTCTCCCTATAATTTTTTTTGATACAGGGTTACCCTCAAAGGATGAGACTGTAAAGACGACCCAAAACTTAAAAAATATGGCGTTTTGAAGCTTAATCTTTGGTTTCTGCGCTCAATTGAATATAATGATGGTTTACAAAATGATTAAGAACAGAAATAAGCCAGTTTTGGCCTATAATAAGGAACCCTATATTCAGGGAAATGGACTAAACAAATTCCATTCAATCGTCTCTGAAGTCTCATTCTTTGTGGGTAACCCTGTAGCTCTAAATTTATTTTTAATGGCAAATATTACTACTGAAAGACAGACTGTGG